GGGGGGGGGGGGTCAACATGAGGAGGATTGCAATGATGGAGAGAACATCTTTGAAAAGGCGACAAGGACTACCAAATCATGAGAGTTAATGTTTACTGCTTTCAACGATAAAATAATTTATAAAAAAAACAACAACTGATATATAATAATAACAATATCATGTTAGTGTTAGTTAATGATAATATCAATAAAAGTAACTATGAACATACTTAAGACAATAGTAACGAAATTGAAGACTCATATCGTAGCCTCAATTACTACTAATGATGATGGTGATGATGATGACGACGAAGAAGAAAACCCCAAACCAGAACTCCAAGTACAAGTACTCACTTCTTGCTCCAGTCACGTGCAGCAAATCACAGCCTCTCTTGTGGCAGCTGACCACAACGCCCAGGGCCTTGACGTCCCCTGTGGACAGCTTGACCAGTGTCCAGTAGGGCGTGCAGTAGCCGGCCAGTAGGGCGGAGAATGCGCACAGGTGAAGGAAGAAGCCCATGTGGAGGTAACAGCTGGGTGTGCGAGCCATGGCCAAACTTGGAGTACTGGAATAATTATTGTAGGTCCATGAGTCCGTGTCGTTTGGTTAAATTTTTGTAATAGTAATAATAATAATAATAATCAGAGTAATGATATTATCATTATATTATTACTATAATAAAGCTAATAATAATAATAAGAATAAGAATAATAATAATAATAATTTAAAAATACAATGATAATAATAATAATAATAATAATAATAATAATAATAATAATAATAATAATAGTAATAATAATAATTTAAAAATACAAAATAATAAGTTAATAAATAACAATAATAATCATAATCATAATAATCATAATAGTCATAAAAATCATAATAATCATAATAATGATGATGATGATGATGATGATGATGATGATGATGATGATGATGATGATGATGATGATGATGATGATGATGATGATGACGATGATGATGATGATGATGATGATGGTGATGATGATGATGATGATGATGATGATGATGATGATGATGATGATGATGATGATGATGGTGACGATGATGATGATGATAATAATAATGATAATAATGATAATAATATAACAACCATCCAGATCATTTCTATAATGCCCGCTCTCGTACAACACATCCCTAGGCGCCGTTCAATACCTTCATCTCAACACAACAGTACAAGTGAATGGACACAATAATAATAATACGTGCATATTATTATGATCTTCATTCTAACATTAACACCATCAGAGACTCATACTATCGCCGCACAACCAATGATGATAACAACATGCACTTCACATTGCGATCAAACGGGTACAGAAATATACAATGTTTGACCCATGATAAGAGAAGACATGTGCACAACCTGCACTTTTTCATTATGGAAACTTCATGTGATGTGGGCCAATGGCCTTGAGGTAAAACAGCACCTGGACATGGATGGCTGGTGCCTCTATAAATAAATCATTGATGGTCTGGTCTGGGCCAATGGCCTTAAAACACTGAATAGAATTACCCACTTACTTATATAAGGGTACTCACTATGAATAAGAAAGACTAACTATCAAGATGGCATTTCGTAAGATATGTTTATCAATAAATCTAAACTTTTGCCTCGAACGTTGTATCCCTCAAACGCTGAAGGACAGAGTTCCAGAAAGATGGGTCAATAATAATAGACTATAATAGAAACGTATGATGAAAATTGAAGACGAAATCCAATAGTTAGAAGAGAACACGTCATCCAAACACACTTCAAAGACGTAGAAGAAAATGACGCCACACACACAAGGGATGTCTTCACACTGTCTGGAGTCTGGACATCTGCCACAGACAAAAGGAAGAGCCCGCGGTCCAATGTGTGTCGCTTTGTCGGCCCTCCGAGTCATTGATTTTTGGCGGATCGATGATTGATTTTTCCGTGATCCTCTTATTGTGACGGGCGTTGTTTTGAGGGGTGCGAGGATACCCACTACTGGACGAAATTGTGTCGGTATCGTGGTAGATTTGGGGGACGGGAGGGGGA